TGTGCCAGCAGAAAGAGTTCCTTCTCTGCATTTCGAGTGCTTTAGTTAGCATAAGGATGGGATTTATTTATTTGAGGTCACAACCATTCTGAAGTGTTTCCTATCTCCTGTTCCTTTTTTTTTTTTTTTTTTTTTTTTTTTTAACCTCTCTGTTCAGCGTTTGGGATCTGTAAATAGATTCTCTGAAGCCACAATTCCTTTTTGACACTATGACAGAAGCTCTGCATTTTAATGGAAATTCTTGAAGGTGATTGGGTGTCCAAATGCTTCAAAGCTTGCTGGTGTGATGATCAGGCTTTCTGTTAGCTTAATTTTGAAGCACAGATGTAAGGCAGCTACATTAAGAGTACAATTTTCTTCAGCCAGACTTTGGTGTAGATTTTGACCAGGATCTTCCTGTCTGTACAAGCTCTTTTAGGAACCTTGTATTTCACCAAAGGTGCAGGCCAAAACAGTTTCTGTTTTCTGCCAACTGACTTCATGTATAAACTTTTCACTGCCCCTGAAGTGTGGGATTATACATCAAAATGAGAAAATATACAATGTGGTAGAAGTATTGCAGTCAAGGATTCAAAAGTGCCCTCATGCTGTTGATTGTCAGGATCTATCTGTACCTGCAGTGTGCATCTGTGATTTTTCGGCGCTGTAGTATGTGTTTCATTGTGAGAGGCACATGCTGTTGTAGCTAGGTTTATTTAATGACTAAAGATCTTAGCGTCTTCCCTTCCCCCCCGTTCATCCTCTGTTAGTGACACACTGATTTCTTATAAGGTTATTTGATCCATCAAATTCTATTTCTACCTTTATTTGATACTGATGAATACAGAAATAAAGCAAATCAAGTAGACAAAAACAAGGAGGTAATATGAAAAAAAAAAAAAAAAAAAAAAAAAAAAGCACTGGGCTAAATACTGTCATCCTGTAAGTACTGGAGTACTGGTGATATCACACAGTGCATTTTACATTACCAAGATTATACTTCTTTTGTTAAGCGGTTAAAGTTCACTCTAGTAAGGGATTTCTGCGACAGAAAAAGGAAGATTTGCACGTTCTTTGCACTGAGCAGAGAGTATTCCTGTATTTTAAAGAAAATACAATGTAATTAATAAAAGTACAAAATAAGGGAAAAAAAAAACAAAAAAAAACAGTGGAGATAAATGGTTCTTTATCAGTAGAGAAATGTCAAGCCCCATTTTTCAACAGGCATTAACTTTACTTTTAATTCTTATTCGTGGTGTGGTCACAGCAGTGAAGTGGTTTGTTTTGTGAATCACCTCTAGGGTAACAGTCAACCAGGAGCCTAAGTATGTACAACACTTCCAAAAGACAGGCACTTCCACAAGAACAGGTGTCTCAGTTTCCAACATTGTCCACTGATGGGGATGTGATCATCCTGGGTATGCTTGTTGTAACAATGTAACTCTTCTAACATTTTGCTGAGGAACTGAAAAGACTGTCCCATGATAAAGATTCATTCAAGATGAAAAATAAGCAACTGCCTACACTTGGTATTTCTACAAATATATTTCAGACACTACAAAAGCTCAATTACTATCTGGGGGGGAGGGGGAGAATCCATGAAGTTGTGACTCAAGGCCTGAAGATAACATTTTATTTGTTTCTTCTTACTTCATATCCCTTTAGTTTAATATCACTCTAATGGAGGGCATAGGCTTTCCATCATGTTGCCTGCATACATGACACATATTACATAGCTCCGTTAGCCTTTTCCATCAATAAGAATGTCATTTTCCATTTCAGGTAAGTATCACAGCAATTTGTCACCTATTTATGTCTTTATTATACCCTTTGCATTTTATTTTCTTTGTTAACAGTGAAGTCCTTGGCCCAGATAAATAGGTAGGATCAATCTTTGGCCTTCAGGATGTTTTAAAAAACATGACTGCAGGATCTCCTCAGTGAACCACATGTCCTTGGTGACATATGCACATTTTGATATCTTTTCTTTGGAATTATTGATAAAAGAGACTAAATATTTTTCATTCTAAAACAAATCCAAAGAAAAGCAAGTAGCACATGATTTTGTGATTTTTTTTTTTCTTATTTTTCCGCTATTGAATGCAGTTTTCACAAAAGGTAGAGTACCCTTTGTGCAAACAGTGAGACTAATTAAGAGTGCACTAGCCTCACTTCACACACTGGGAGAGTGTCCAAGAGTTATGCATCTAGGGCTATTTGGTCAGAGTTCAAGAGTTCAGGTTATTGAGTCTCTGTTTTGTTCCCTGAAATGCCACTACTTTTATTGAAGAAAGGTCCCTCAGAAATGAAACTTCTTTGTCAGAATGGGTGCCAGATAGTATTCTATAATCTACAGTCAGTTTGTTTAACTAAGCTGGGTTTGGAAGCATGATGTCTTTAGTGCAGGCCTTCTTCTGATGAGCCTAATCTAAGATCATAACCTCAGAGGTTAAGGCTACTCCTAGAAATTTATGAAAGGCACATTTATTATATTCTTTTTTTTTTATTTAAAGTATCGCATATGACACAGAGCTGTGTGCAGTTCTGTCTTTTTCCTGGAAACATCAAGTTCGGGGAGCATGAGTGAGCATTAAAAGGTTTGTCTTTCTGCACTAATTCTCAGACTTGCATCATTTTCCTTCTTTTTTTCTTTTTTTTTTTTTTTTTTTTTTCAGGCAAAGCATTCTATCTACCCAAGTTATGTAGTAGTTCCGCTTTAGTATGATATTATTGCTTTAGAACTATGAACTGACCAGCTTTATGTTCTTTAGATGTTTGAGTATGTTCTTTTTTCCTTACTGTAGAAAACAGGGCAGTCACGTCTGCAAAACAGAGATTAGACTCGTGAATCATATTAGCATATACTTTTTTTTTTCTTCTGAGTGCTGGTAATACTTCAAAAATTTCTCCCTTGTGACATATTCCATGAAGGAACTAACAAGCCTGCAGGCAGCAGACAACCTTGAAGCACTTCCTCTGCTTTTCGGAAGTAATTTATGATAGCATCTTTCCATTTCACCCTGCACTTTCCAAAGATACACATTTTTGTTCCTATGTTATGGAGACAAGAAGTACTTGTTCCACACAGTCTTCCAGAAGGATATTTTCATTAACAAGTATTTACATAAGCCTTGCAGTCCTTATTGATCAAGGCTGTCACCCTCATCAAATAAACAGAGCAATAACACTTTTGCTGTAACCACTGAAGTACTCACGTGTTCTGAACTACGCCAAGGAGATTTATCTGGTAGTAATTATCTAGAACCGGAATTTAGCTTGATCTACTGCTGTTTTATTGTAAATTTGAGATAGTTTTGTTCTTTATATTGTAATTATTGCACCGATACAGTATACTAATAATTACTTGAAGAAATAATTACTTGAAGAAATAATAATTACTTTTACTCAGCATTAGAACTTTCTTTTAAAATGATTTTTATTTTATTAGTACTTTATATTTTTGCTGTGTAATTAGAAGATTACATGGCATTTAGTTTGTGCTTTGGGAAAATAGTCTTTTTTTTAATCCTATACTAACTGTGTGACAACTATTATATTCAGATAGAAAAAAATTGTAGAAAGCTAGTACAAAAACAGATTGTAAGCAAATTACTTGAAACAGAATTACAGAACACAAGAGCTAAAGTTAGAAATGAAACAAGGTACAGACATTATTGTCTCAGTATTCTTTAAGTAAAATAAATATTAATTTGATATTTTAAAGAAAAAGAGTTCTTAAGCTAAACTCAATATTTACAGCAAGTTACAATAGTTTCCACATGTGGGTTGGATGTTAAAGAGGAATAAATGTGATGGATTCATGCTCACAGGAGATAAATTATTTGGACTGGTTCATAATTTTGCTGCTTACCCAGAATTAACTTTTCTTATGTATTGATTGAATGGTTGATTGATTTTGTAGGAAAATTGATTACTTACTTATATGTCATAAAAGTTGAATTCTAACCATGCTTTGATAATATTCTTTAAAGTTGGTACAGATAAATGACAGTTCATGCTCAGTGGAGTTTTAGCTGCTATTATTACCCTGTATTATTTCCCAGAACTTGTTCCCATCCACTTGCGTCTTGATTTTGCTTCTGAGAGTGCTATTCTTGTGCAAACATTCAGAAGGCAACAGTGAGTTTAATTCAGTTGTTTAGTTTGCATTTAATCCAGTTAGTCTACATATTAACACCACTGAAGTCACAGCAGTCTCAAATCCAGTATTGACTGTATTTGCAGTGGGAACTACTGGCTGAACGTATGAACAGTATTGTTTCAACTTCATTAGTAAACTCATATGAAAGTATGTTTCAGGGATACCTACAGAAGTCAGTGTGGTGCAGGCACTCTGCATAGTGGAGACAAAGTCAGTGCTAACAGAATTATTAGATCTCGCTCCATTCTGACAACTTTCACAAGAAGTTGTGCTGTGGAGCTCCTAGTCAAAAGATACTGATGAACTGAAAGTTTCTGTTGATTCAGTGGAAGACTAGAGGAGCTACAGAACAGAAATCCAGTAAGACCTGTATAATAACAAAGATGGCTTGTGAAACCCCCTAGAAAATGTTGGAGCATGGGAGCATTCTAGGAAATATTGCATAAGCTCACTGTATTCTTGTGTTATTCTTAAGTACCCTTTCAGGGCCACAACCCAGAAAGCATGGGGTAAGGATGTCCTCTGATCCCTTTCAATAAAGCTGCTTCAAGATTCCTCTGTTTCTATACAGATAATTGCTGTTTCCTCAGGAAAGCACAAGAGAAGTTCATGACATAATGCATGATCTTACATCTTCTGGAACTGGGGATCAGAAAATATAGTCAGCTTGATTCTGTGTCTTAAAACTGTACAATTCTGAATGCTTTGTAGTCTGATGATTCTGTATCTTAAAGCTGAATAGTTCTTAATACTTTGTGATTAAATCACAGTTGGATTGAGATTCAGACTCCCATAAATTGAGTTATACACCAGAAGTTCATGTGTTGTCTTAAAACTGTTACGATTACAACTTTTTCAGATTGGAAGCTTTGGAAGCTTATCATTGTTTTTCTCACTTCTCGGATGTTGTTAACAGATGAGCAACTACTTAACCACTGACCAATTCCAAAGTAAGTACAACCAAGGTAAACACCATTGATTTGCTAAAGTTGTATATTTTTTTCAAATGAATGAAAGAAGGAAAAGTGCCAAACAAGAGGCTGTAATAAACAGAGGTGATAGAGTATGGGGTCACAAGGGATGTTGAGTAGAAGAGCTGAAGATCCTTGGTAATGCTGAGTTTGTGGATCATGGGGGAAAACAGATACAAGTCTGTGTGCTTTATTTGTTTTTACGTTGTAGAGATATAAAGCATAATGTATGCCACATATTCAAGTAAGATGTGTGAAACTTAAGCTTCTTTAGATTAACTAAATGTTATTGTTTTAGCTCTCAAAAGTCCCCTGAGTGCCAGTAAATTTGCTGTATCCACAAATTTGTCTTATGGAAGATAGAAGGTAATGAATACCTAATTTGAGACACAATGCAGGAGAAAAAATACCGAAGCTTAATATCTGACAGAGAAGCCAAGAAGTCCAGAGACTGGGAAAGTAGGTAAATATAAGCTTTAATCATGGAAATCCATAAGAATCTAAGGTTCAGAAGCAGCGAGAGATTTGTATCAAATACTCAGAATAGGAAGCTAAGCCAGAGTTGGACTGGACAATTATATCACCTTATTTCATGCAATTATTTGTTGATGTTTTCAGTGGGAGGTAGGTAATATTTCTCTGTAGCAAAGTTTGAGTAAGAAATTAAGCAAGTAATAACTACTAATATTAAATTATTAATGTTGTTAAATTCGGTATTGGTCACTCCAGAAAACTGAGTTTATCAAAGCAACCAATGGTTGCAATTAGAATAAAGAAAAGTGTCTTTCTTCCTGTTCTAATGCTGTCCTAGAAATTAGGTTAAATATTGCCATTTCCATGAGGAATGAGGCTACCCTTCACCAAAATAAAGAGATAAGAGATAAAAAAGTTTCCGCCTAAGTGACCAAGTGAGGCAAACAGTAGTGGAGTGAGGGAAATGCTTTGATTTCCCACAGGCTATCTGCCTGTCCCTTTTTTTGAATGGTGATGGTAGCTCACAGTATCTACACAACCACTCTAGGTTCTCTAGGTTGTAAGCTATGAGAACTTCTAAAAATTATCTCACAAAAACAACTATCTACCACCACTAGAACTTAGCTGCTTATCCTGTCCACTTTGTATATACAGATTGTCCCAAGTAAAAACTGTACTTTTTTTTTTTTTCTATTTGGGGAGGAAGGACTGAGCAATACATTATGGATCTCTTTGAAAAGATGAAGTGCAATGCTAAGTGCAAAGAATCATTACTAAAGGGAAGTGGATTAGATACTTAATAAGATAGACATATGTTTTTGGTGATGATCCAGACTGTGCTAATTCACAGGAGTAAATCAATTTGTATACCTTACTAATTTGAAATGAATGGCAGCTAGAAATGTCTAGTAGATATTTGGAGCTGAAGGTTAAGCCATATATTATTGTAAAGGCATGTTCCCCAAGATTTCCAATGATATATGATGCATAGCTTTGATTCTGTTTTAATAAACCTGCGTTTTTTTTTTAATAACTATCTGTGTTAATTTGCTATATGAAAGGAAGAAATATACTACAAGTGGTTTCAATGTGCTAATACTTAATCCTGCTAAACTGCCCTTAGCCTTGGTCTGTGTTAAATGTGTGAGGTTTTTTGCTCAGTGATGCCAAGAAATTCTTGGATGTAAAACTGGCAACCTCTCATGCAGAAAAAGGTGAAAGAGTACTTATCATTGGATGATGCTATAAAAACCATACTTTCGTTGCCAGGTCCCTAATTAAATTACCTTTTATTGCCCCTTTTTATTATTATTTATTTCTGCTCTTTAAAGCTTTAGCTTGCCTCATAAGCAAGATTTAAGATCTAAACGTAGCTGTCCTTCAACTGCTCCACAGTTAAACACTTCCTACCATCACCATCCTTTTAAAGTTTTGAAAAATAAAAAGGCGCTCAAATGGAATACTGAATTGCTATTAAATAAAATGCAATGGCATCAAAGAATAGGATTTTAAATTCTCTGAAAATTTGGATACAAAGACTAGTGTTGCTTACATGCATGTGTCCAAGTTACACATGAGGGTCTTAAACTCACAGACTTCTGAGGATTCATAGACATCAATACTTTAATCATTTTAATTTCCTAGATATTTACTCTTGGAGTATGGAGTACCCTTCCACGGTGCTTGATCTAAAACCACAGAATCTGATACAGGAGTCTGCCTGCTGCCTACATGTTACATCTGTCTCTCCCAGCTACATTTTCTGTGTGGGCCCAATCTGTTTTATGTTTATACGTCATTTCAAACACTTTTTTTTTTTTTTTTCTGTTACAAATTCAGATAAATAGAGGATGCAGCTGCCATCATTTCCTTTGTTTAAACAAAAATATTGGGTGGTATCACTCAGAACTTTCTTCAACTACTGCTAAGCTATTACAGCAGTTTTCCAGTGAGCAGAAGACTTGCATTCAAAAGCCCTTTACGTCTTAAAAACCTGCTTTTCACCTCCAACTTGCTTTGCTGATAAACTAGCTTCCATGGTGGAAGATGCTGAACATTATGAAATCCATTCAAAGTGTAACTGCTTTTAAATTGTATTGAAGCAAAGGAAAATTCCTGAAATAAGCTTGGTATGTTTTCTGATGTCTTGATAGTGAGGTTCATTTTGCTTCATTTAATTCAGCAGCTCCCTATACTTCACAAGGGCTCCACCATGATTGATGCTTTAATAACATGTAGGCCATCCAATGGGGGATTTCAGTATCTATTTGAATCTGAACAAATCATTGCCATTGAAGAGATGGCAACTCAGGCAATGTTTTCAACACTGTGTAATGTCAAGACAGAAGCAAACTTAGAAATATACTAAACTCCTAGAAGGAAAATAATGTGGGGAACAATGATTTTGTACAAAAGCAATCACGGGATATGTTTTGACTACTCAGGTGGACTAGACACTGGCTAAACAAAATGGTTTGGATTCAAGTATAGGAGGCAGGAGCCTATAAAGTGAAAATATTCTCAGTTACAAGACAATTAGGTTTTCTGTGTTATTTATTTATTTATATAAGCTAGTGGACAGATTTAGGGATAGATTAAGATATTTACTAAAATATTCCCAAGTTGCCTTAATTACTGAGCTGTGCCAATATTTAGGAGTCATTAAACAGTAAGCCTGCTGGAGTAAAAATTGGTGCAGTCAACAGTAATGCCTTAATTTAATTTGAAAAATATTACCTACTTTCCACCATTAGCGCCCATGGTTGCAAGCACTTTTGCAATGGAAGTAAGTACTGCCTATGGACTAATAAATACTTCTGGGGATATTCAGAATCATTTCAGAGGGTTGAACATTACTGTAAGGAGGAAAAATAGCTCGAAAACTTCAGGCCATTTCATCTTTTGATATAAAATATACACACATTCACTAAGCATGACTCTTTACAATAAAAATAGTGTAATGCAGCAAAGAATAACCAAACACTGTGACACATGGCTCATTAGCTTTAGAACATAAATTAATCTGTTGTAAAATTAGGAACATATTATGGGACATATGAGAGATTCAAAAGCCCAGAAGTTCCAAGTACAAATTTTAAACCATTCATGGTGGTGTGTTCCCAGCCTCACTAAATCAGGGAAAATGAGTTTTATGAACAATCCACCAGATGGGAAAATGTTCACATACCGCAAAATGTTGATCAGATTTATTTGAAAAGCAAGCTGTAACCATATGCATATGAGAGGAAGCAAAATGAATTTTCAGATATGCAGTGACTGCTGTCAAGCTTGCAGCTGTATGAATTTAATGTTATATTGCTGTTTCTACAGTAGGCTTCCTTGATTTCACTTACCTATTTGCCAGCTAGTATGATTAATATTGATTCAGTTTTACAAGCAATTAAATGGGAAAACATAAACAATCTTTCTACTGGCTTTTCACCAAACAGTACTACATATCTGAATTTTTGACATCTGAGACATAGTAATGTAACATCCAGAACCTTAGTGCACAAACAGACCATACAGATATCATGACATCTTTACAACTCTGGAATTTATCACTTTCAAATCTCAGATGACAATAATCTGCATTTATCCTACTGCACTGACTCTAGTACATCTAGAGTTAGAAGAGAGTATATAAAGAGTTATAGCTGCTTGATAAGTAAGGTATCTAAATTTCTTTTTTATCTTCCCAAATATTTTAGTTGTTGAGTCACTGAAAACAGAGTTGAAGAGGATTTGGTTGTGGGGTTTGATCTTTTGAAACCAATTATGTTTAAGTGATTCTTTTTGTTTTTGTCTCATATTAAGACATCAGATTAATCAAATTAATTTTTACTTTTGTCATTTTTTAATTTGTAATTTTTTTGAAACAGCTGCTCATTTTAAGTCAGGCAACTGAATTGTCCTTTTCCTAATGGGTTTTTAAATGCAGAGGTTCGGGCCACTAATAAAAGAGGGATTTAAAAACATGTCAAAGTGAGACCAAAATTGTCAGCCATTAAGGAAAAGCTGGATATCAACATATGTTTGTGCTCAGACTCATTGTTCTCATTGTTTTATTCACTCTCTTTGACTGAGAGAAGAAAGATTGTACTAGGTTCAGTGAATATGGAATAAAAAAACCATTCTCTTGAACTACAAGGACTACTAAGATTTGTGTGTTTTATTATATTCCATTACGTTGTTTTTGTTTGGGTGACAGCATTTGCCAAAGTGATGCTTTTTTCATTTCCATGAGCAGTAGGTTTATTACATTTTGTAGAATTTTCCTGCTTTTCCAAATCACTGTTGCACTGCTGCACTCGATTGCTTTTTTTAAATACAGGCAAGTTGTACTGTCGGCTTGTCAAAATCACATTTCTTGTAGGAAGTGCTTTCTACTTTAGATCTGCATTGGGTAAGTGCTGATCTTGAGGAGAAGCTTCCGTGTTGATCTCATAAAGGATCTTGACTCCTTCAGGAACAACCTCAGTCTTTAGGTATGAGTGTTTTAAACT